GGACGCGATTAGTGTCTTGGATAGAATTCTGAACGCAGTCAAAGTGCAATGAGAACGAGGGTTAGCGAGGACCCCTGAAAATGCCTACAAGAGGTTCGATCCCAAAATGGGTGTTTTTGGCCTTTCGAAAATGGCCGATTTTCGTCATTTTTGGCCTTTTAGATCGGACCTCCACGTTTTTGGCCCTCAATGCCGAGATGCCGTCCAAATTTTCGCCGCGCGCCCAAGAGGCGCGAGGGCGGCCCGCCGCCGACTAGCCATATATAGACTGTCACGTGGTCCGTATTCCTGGAAACACTCATTTTTGGCTCAAATGGGATCCAACATAGCGCGTCAAAGGTGCTCAGATTTGGCCTTTTGGATCATACATAAATCTCAAAATCGGGCTGATTTGGCTTTTTTGGATCGAACCTCTTGTAGGCATTTTCAGGGGTCCTGGTTAGCGGCAAAGGGCGTGTGACTGATTGCGTCACGTCACCCATCCACCTTGCCTTTTGCCTTTTCCCTTCTCAGCTCTTGTCCTTGCCTTGTTCCCTCTCGCTCTCCCTTGGTCCTTACGCGTGCGGAAAAATCTTGTAACGCGGCGTTACTATGACTTGGACATGGACTCAGGGTCCGGGCATTTGTCTTGTCTCTCGCGCGCGCTTTGACCAGGACAATGGAGGGTCCCCACGCTCTGGTCAATGCAGCGGGGGGTATAATAGCTGGACGGGTGTTGGGATACTTTAATTTTTTCCCCGCTTGATATCGCACGCCCAGCATACACAACCTGGTATGCGCGTTTTGGTTCGCCTGGGATTTAGGCGCGTGCTGATTAGCTGCTAGATATCGGAAATGCCCAGCTATTCAGCCAACGAGGCCAAAGTACGTGGTGCCACTCGTCGTGTTCTTCGCACTCACGTTTCGTGTAGGTGCCATACCCCACCCCCTCTGCATCTCCACCACCCACTCTCAAACGCAAACGTCCCTCCTCCCCCGCTCCACCCAACAAAAAAGCACGGACATCACCCGCAGGCATCTCGCACATCCTCCAGCGCGAATTCGAGGCGCATCTCCGCGGGGACAGGTACAAAGCCAAGTACCATGCCGGGCGCTCGAAGAGTCAGGCTCTCCTACACGAGAACGATGTCCTCTTAAAGCGTGTTAGGGAGTCGGAGGAGTTGGAGGGGCAGGTTGAGGTGCTTCGCGCGAGGAACGAGGAGGCGAGGAGGACGAGTGAGGCGGTGCATGAGCAGACGACGAGGGATATTGTGGAGGTATGATATCCGTTTATTCCTCGTCTTTTCTTCGTTGTCCTGAGCTTGATGTTTCAGGCGAGGGAGGCAGCGAAGGAGGCACGACGACAGGCGGAAGAGTATGAGAAGAGGGTTAGATGTGATGCGGAGGAGTATAGGGAGAGGGTAAGACGTGATGCGGAGGAGTATGGGGGGAGGATAAGACGTGATGCGGAGGCGTATGTCCGGGAGCATGCACAGACGGTTGTGCACGCGGCTCCAGACGACGAGCAGCTTCGTCAGTCTCTCGCCCAGCTTCAAGCACACAACGACTCCCTCACCTCCTCCCTCTCCACCACCTCTTCATCGCTCTCCTCTGCGCAACAAACCATCGCCTCCTTCTCCTCTTTTCTCGAGACGATCCAAGGCAGATACACGCGCGCGATCCACGCGTTTGCGGTGCACTTTTACATAAAGTACCCGATGGACTGGGAGAGGATTGTCAGAAACTTTAGGCCGCTGGCGGAGGCGCTCGTCGTCGGGAGCGTGTCGGAGGCGTATCAGCATCCGCCCGATGTGAGGTGGGATGTCAAGCCGGATAGGGGAGAGGAAGAAGAGGAGGAGACGACGCTTGAGAGGGCGGAGGGTGGTGTTGAGGAGGAGGAGGGAGAGGAGGAGATGGAGGAGGATGAGGAGACGGTTTCGCAGCCACAGTCCTCGTTCGTCCAGCCTCAGCCCGCGCCGGGCACGACGTATGATCGGGCAAGAGACCCGAGGTTGAGCAAGGCGGCTGATAGTTTTTTGGATGATATGGCTGGGATGTTGCCTGGGTTTGGGCAGCAGCAGTCTGCTTCTGGGTCTGGATTTCGACAGCAGTCTTCCTTTGCAGCGCCGTCCGCTTTTGGACAGCCTGCGTCTACTTTTGTCGCTCAGCCGGTGCCTACACCTTCGTCTTTTGGCCAGCCATCCATGACACCGGCATTTAGCGCTCCATCCTCCACGTCTGCTTCTGTCGCCCAGCCGGCACCTGCTCCCTCAGCGTTTGAACGGTACACTGCGGGCGCTGCGTCGGCGTTTTCCTCTCAGGCTGCACCTACAAAGCCGGCTCCTTCTCCCGAAACCCCAGTCCAGCGCCAGCCGAATAGTAAGGAGTATAATACCTCGGGGTATGCGACAGAGTAGAACAGATTCCTGCTACTTTAGATTTCTCGTATAGTGCTGTGCTGTCGTTTTGTTGCTCTATTGATTTTGTCTGTGTTGTGGTTTCTGCTTTACTTCGCTGTGGGATTGAAATCGGAGACGAGGAGGAGGAGGAGGAGGGAACACCAAGTGTATGGGGACATAGCTCAGTTGGGAGAGCAACAGAATGAAGTGTCGTAGCCACGTATGGTGTTCTGGAGGTCCCCAGTTCAATCCTGGGTGTCCCCATCAACCTGGTTCAACCTATTTTTTTACTTTTGCGAAATAGGGTCTACCGGCACATGATGTGGCGCAGTCCTCGTCCTCATTTCGCTACTCTCAGCTTCTCTCTGGCTACTGCAATGCGACTGAAGGCGCGACTCGGAGAAGCGAAAGATGGGGGATACTGATGCGAAATTAGAGGCTCTTCAACATGCAAGAAAGGGTGCTGTATCGGGGACATAGCTCAGCTGGGAGAGCAACAGACTGAAGTAGAGAAATATACGCGTATCCTATGTGTTCTGGAGGTCCCCAGTTCAATCCTGGGTGTCCCCATGCGCTTTCTCTTAATGGCCTTTTCCGTATTTCTGAAGCAGAGCGGGGTTGTTTTTGCATCTTTTCGATTAATCGTCAACGGAGATTTCGAGACTCGGGATTCGGGCCGCACCGATCATCGTCTGATCCTCCTCTCTTGCTTGCGACCATCACTGCGTTCTTGGTTCTTGTTTTTATTTATTGCCAGCTAGGATAGGAACGGCGGCATCGACTACACGACGGAGCAAGGACATATACGCTGGATGGTGCAGCACACGATCAAGGTCGTCGTCATCGGGGCGTCGGGGGTGGGCAAGACGAGTCTGCGGAGTCAGGTGTGTGTGTGCCCTCAGCTCTACTAACGCACCGTGAAGCTGACCCCCGTGATAGTACATCACCTCGCGGTTCTCGACTGGATATCGGGCGACTATCGGTGCTGATTTTATTAGCAAGACTATCACCGTCCCAGGGGCTGAACAAGACGAAGTTGTATTGCAGATTTGGGTGCGTCGTCTCATCCGTCTCTAATCGCAAAGGCTGACATGAGACAGGACACAGCCGGGCAAGAACGCTTCTCGTCTTTATCTACCGCCTTTTTCCGGGGCGCGGACGCGGTGGTGATGGTGTACGACGTGAACCGGCCCGAGACGCTGCACGAGCTCACCCGGTGGTGGGCGGTGTTCAAGGAGGGCGCGGACTGGAGTGAGGAGGCGGGGCGGCGGAGGGGCAGGGCGGTGGTTGTGGGGAATAAAGTCGATTTGCTTGGGCAGGGAGAAGGGAGGGTAGAGGAGAGGGATGGAGAGGAGTTTGTCAAGGAGCTGTTGGGGCTGCCCGCACATGAGAGAGGGGAGAGCGGGAGTGGGTGGTCGCATCGTGCGCAGGCGTCGTCGGGCTCTTCGGGGAAAGCGCCCACACCGCCATTGGAGATTACACCGCCGCAGATGCGCTCCCCCAGCGCGTCGATGCGCTTCGGGACTGTGACGACGACGCACACTACGACGCTGACCATCTACCACACCCCCTCCTCCTCATTCGACGACAGCGACAGCGTCTACTCGGCGTACACAGCCCGCGAAGCGAGTCTTCTCACGCGGAGCAACTCGCCGTCCTCCATCCTCGCCTCATCATCCCGCATCCGATCCTCCTCCTCCTCGCCCCTCCGCAACATCTCCCCCTCGTCGCTCTTTCCCAAACGGACGCCGAGTCTCGCGACGATCACGCCCGAGGTGTATCACCGCTCGCACCACGCGAAGAAAGAGAAGCACACCCCGCATTTCTTGGCCTCGGCCAAGTCGGGTGTGGGCGTCGCAGAGGTGTTTGAGTATCTCGCGGCGCATGCGCATGAAGACTCGGAGGAGGATAGGCAGCTGGGGTACGCGGAGGCGGGGAGGGAGTCGTTTATCGATGTCGGCACGACGTTGAGGGTTAGTGGAGGGAGGAGGAAGAGGCAGGGCGGCGGGAGGGGTGCTGCGTGTTGTTGACAATTGCGGGCGTTCTACTTATCTTATGTGTTCGGTTCGATTCGGTATTTGTTATACTTATTTATGCGGTATACCCCGTTGTTGGATGACATTGATAAAAAGCAATAGGGTAGTGGAAACAACCTAGGTTAGAGTACCAAGAGGTTGTTTCCTGGTAAATTACTGGTTATTTACCGGTTTGTAACCTAAGTCTGTTGGAGCTAGGTTATTTACCTGCACGTGACATATCCACGTGATGTGTGGCGCTCGGAAAAACTTAAAAGGTAGTATGCACTAAGTATATTCAGAGGCAAGCAAAGTTACTAGTGCCATTAAAATCTATCTGACTCTGATGGGACCAAGGAAGTGTGATATCCGGCTGAAAACACTTGATGGCTGCTGCTGCGCTGCATGGCACTGTCCCGCGGAGACGTCACGTGAAAATATCACGTGCAGGTAAATAACCGTTTTTAACCGGTAAATAACCTGGACCTCTGGGAGGGTAGGTAAATAACGGTTATTTACCACCCTCCGAGGTTATTTCCACGACCCTAAAAAGCAATGAAAGGCTTCCGGGATGGTCAAAGTCAAAAAGTAGTGCATCTAGCTCGCATGGGGACACCCAGGATTGAACTGGGGACCTCCAGAAGAACTTGGTCGTCGCTGCTCTTCAGTCTGTTGCTCTCCCAACTGAGCTATGTCCCCGATACGAAGACTTACTCCTCCCCACCCGTCCCCGGGATCATCCATTACAGAACCGTAACGTGTTTTTGTTGAGACGTGCTACGAAATGCTGCCCACCCGACCTCGTTCTGTGTGCAAAGTTCACACCGAATGCAGCGTAGGAGTAAAGAGTTGTTGATCTAGGAATTCTCAACGACCTTGGTAAGGAAAACAAAAAGATTCACATTGGGATGTGGTAGTATGTTCACGTTCTTGCCGCTCGGGTAAGACGGAGCGGTAGATGATGAAATCCCTGAACTTGTGTGTGCGTCAGTATACTTTCAGAGATTGCTATCATTGAAAAAAGTGCACGAGACTCAGAGCCAGTTCAAGAACCGAAAAAGCATCGCAAGATATGCCCATGGCCCATGGGACACCCAGGATTGAACTGGGGACCTCCAGAAAACTCAAACGTTCCGTCCTACTTCAGTCTGTTGCTCTCCCAACTGAGCTATGTCCCCGATGCACCTTCTTCTGCGACACCCATGTCTTGGCTCTTTCCTTCCATCAACGAGCTATGGGGTGAGTCCGCATGGGGCACAAATTGAATGAATGAATGGACTACCCTTCCTCATCCCCAAGCAGCAGTGCCCGCAGCACGAGACAGCCCATCTGATGATCCATGTCATCCACCTGCTCAAATCTCGGAACAGAAGACGCGCGTCAGAATCGCCGTTCCAACAGATGAACACGCGTGGAACGTCCCCATGAAACGAGATGCGGACGCGAAGACAGGATGTCGACACTAGGGATAGAAAGAAATGCCAGTGTGAGGTAGGGCATTTGGCTAGCTTTTCTCTATGGTTATGAGCCTGAGCATCCGAGTTCCATGCCCACGCTTCTCAGGCCTACTAGTAGCAAGCTAATATATTTAGGTTCCCGCTCAGGTTTCTTTGGAGGAGATATGTACGCTTCGTATTTCCGGTCGTACCTCACACACAGACACAGCAGATTCAAATCATTTTCTCTCAGGTTCGTGGTCAATTGTTTTCAGGTGGCACCATTTTCTCGACCCAAGGAACTTGGAAGGAAAGACAAACGTTCGTCCGTCCATTTCTCGGACGGCCTGGTGCAAAGTACTTGGACTGCGTATTCAATGAAAATATCCGCTAGCATGTCACCACGTTTTTCACAGCGACGTGATTACTTTCTTGGGCTCCTCGCTTGGAAGTTGCTACTCTTTTCTCTTAGTAGAGGCTTGGGTAGAACACCCTTGATATCGTCTCGCTTCTAGTACACACTGGCAAGACTGACCCCTGTAGCGTGTCCGCCATCCCGAATCCACAGCGTCGCGAATGAGGGGTGCGTTACTGTACACTTTAATTCAATTCGTCGGTCACGGGTCACAGAGGATCCGAAATCGACGAAAAGTCACAAGAGTCACGCGAAAATTGAGAAAAAAGTCCCCGGCGGGGCCCCCGCCAGCCTCCCGCCGCAGCTCCGCCGCGGCGGCAATTACCATATATGGTAATTCGACGAAACCATAATTTCGTCGGACCGGTCACAGGTCACATGGCCCGACGAATTGAATGAAAGTCTACATCAGGAAAACCGAATGCCCTCAGGAGCGCTACTGAGCTCTCCTGAGGAATGGTAGGACCGTAGCTTCCGTTGCTAGGTCCCCCAACGATCCGCTACCATGAGCCGACGGAGCCTCTGGTAGCTGTTCGGATGGCTACCAAACAGCTACTGCTCACTCCAATCTGGTACTGGTTTCCCAAAAATCACAGCATAGGATAATAAATAAATGTAGTTTTCATTTTGAAGGAACATACAAGTAGAAGAACTACACGCAAGATGCGGAAAAATACAAAGAATGTCTGATACCTGAATGAGTCGTTAGAGATGCAAAATGGAAGGGAGAGATTGATGAAAGACATACTGAGGAAGCAGTGCGACGTGTGGCTGCTAAGCCGGTCCTCGCAAATCAGTCCTGTTCATTACTGGCCTGATCCTCGTCCTCGTCGCCTCATCATCGTTCATTGGTATCCTCCTCGTTATCTGGCCGGTATGATCACTCGGCTGGTATCCTCATTGTCGCCCAGTTTGGTCCTCGTCATCACAAGGCTAACATCGTCGTCGTCGCGAGGCTGCATCGTCTTCGTAGTTGCTCAGCCTGTCCTCGTGGTCTCGTTGAGTTGGTCCTCGCAGCTGGCATCATCGCCGTCACGTCCGTGGGCATCGTCGTCGCCGTCAGGGAATAGTCGTGGTCGCTGTGCTGCCCCACGTCGTGTTGCTTAGCTGGTCCTCGTCGTTGCCCATCTGGTATCATCCTCTGACTGGTATTCTCGTCGTGGCCCGGCGAACATTGTCATCCTCGTTACTCAGCTGGTCCATGGTCGCCGCTGTCGCTAGGCTGGTCCCATCCTTCGCTCGTTGGGCTCGACCTCGTCATCGCTGGCCTGATCCTCAGTCGCTGGACTGACATTGTCCTCGTCATCACTGGGCTGGCATCGTCCTTTTCGTCGCTCCACTGGCATAGTCCTCCTCGTTGCTGGGGTGGTATCGTCCTCCCTGTCGCTCGGCTGGCATCGTCCTTCCTGTGGCTCGACTGGCATCGTCCTTGGCATGATTTGTTGCGGCCGTCCATCCTGTTCAGTAGTCTTCGCATCCGTTCGGCGTCGCTCGTCCTGTTGTCAGTGCTCGCAGTGCCGGGTGTCCACTCTTGGCGCCTGTTGGTCATGACTCGGGCGGCATGCTGGTCTTGATGGTGCTGTGCGCGAGAGGACATGGCATGTTGATGGGTGGATGAGGGGTAGGAGTCGACGAGAGATTGCAGGGTGGTGGAAGAAAGGAAAGGTGAACATGACTCATCTTCGATTACGCCATGTTGACCTTCTGCATTTGGATCGATGGCTGCACAACGCTGTAAAAATTGCCAAGTCCAAAGACATCTATTTTGGATTGGACATGAGGTGTAATGAGAGTGTACTGGAGGTAAGCTGGAGGTTCTGGTAGCGTTCAAGAGTGATCGATAGGCTACAAAGCTTCCGATCACTACCTATCACTACTGATTCCTTCTTTGCTACGAAACGCTAAGGCGTTCAGGCGGTTTTCCTGATGTACAGTATCAGATCCAGACTCGGTATGTAGTATTGTTCGATTCTTCTTGATGTCAAGCCTCATCTCTCTACGCTGCTCTATACTGGAATGCTAGCTTGTCTGGAAGGCCTAATGGTACAGGATCTACGTCGTCAATCCTGCGGAAATCCACATTCTGTCCCACTGGCACTATCCCTCAGCTCCATGCCGCTGTCTGGACATGGGCCTTTGGAAGACTCGGAAGGATCCGCTAGTCATTCCAATGCTACCTCCTTTCATTGACGCAGACCATGCCTGGAAAGGAAACTGGAACCTTTTACGCTTACTTCCTCCGGCTCCGAGTGAACGACCGGTAAGGAAAAGGCAATGGTTGTATTGCACGTTGGTCACGAGCGTGGGAGACGCATATGGCTGAAGTCTTGCGAGGTGGTATAATGTTTCAAGAGGTCGGACTCGAGCTGGTGCGTATTCTGAGGTGAGGTGATCCTAATGACCTGTCCGGTTCTAATCAACTACCACCAGCCTAAAGGTCGAAAACGTATTGACCGGTAACTCTACTCAGAAACGTGCGCGGATGGTCACCGGTCATAGAAGCATACGGGATACATATGTACCGCGAGAGTCGAATGTCGTGGCAGGACCATAACAAATTCTGAGTCTGAGCAACGATTCGGGACTCAGCACTCAGGAATTGAGACGAGATTTCTAGGGCTCGTTTGCACAATTCAGGTCTAATTAATACAGAAGGAAGCCGAAGAATGCGTTCCCTGCCACGGCACCCTGCGCATCGAGAAAGAAGCCTGAGGTGATTAGCGGGTGTCGTGTGTGAATCCATGTGTGCGTTAGTGTGCAACGGTTGAGTCGAAGGACAGACACGAAAAGGAGAAGAAGGGCAGTATTGAGTTACAATGTTGCAAGTTTGATTCCGCCTAGAGTGCGGGCGGCAGATGGTATTGATGATCGCGGGCGGCGGAGTCTGAGACGTGTCGGTTTGAGTGTCGCAAAGTCATCCGCGGACAGCCGAGAGGAATACTGTATCACCTGTTCGCCTAGAGTTACTTGTGGGCCGTGGCATTCCGCTTTCGCATGGACCCGGGAGAAGGACTGCCGCTTCGACGACAAGCGCACTCGTCCATCAGGCATCAGCGCCCAGCCCACCACTCCTGCATACCCCAGTTATGAGGAGCGATACTCGGACGGGCACCGGCACTAACCTGGCCCAATCAACAAAGGCTGTTTCCCGACTCCCGAGACATGCTTACGATTGAGGCCTAGCGGCGGTAACGAAACATTCGTCATATGCATGTATTATTGAACATTGGCAAGAGAATAGTGGCGCCATCCTTTCCGAAATTCCACCCGAAACAGGACAAGTCG